TTAGTGACCAAATAATAACAAAAAAAACATTATAACATTCCAATGCAAAATAAAAAATCTTTCGTACTTTGATTGAAACTAGGGTCTTAACCCAAGCACAATATCTTTTTTTCTTTCTTCCAAAACCCACCCAGTGAAGATCCTCAATGATTTGTAGCACACGCCCAAACTTCAATCCAAAAATCTACATAACTTCTACCCAACTGACCCAGTATCTCCACTATGTCATTTTAAAATTGCAAAAGCATTCCAAAAAGCAATATAAACAGTACCAAGCGGCAGGTAAGAAGAAAATAGAAAGAACTGGGAAGAAACAGGATAAAAGATGATGTTTTTATTATTGAATTTTCTTACTGTAGTTTCTGAAGGGAAATTGAAAAATCTGAGAGCAATATAGTTTGATGAGCGAGAGACAGGAAGAACATTGCTTGAATTCTCAGCTTGCATGCTCTTCAAATCAATACTGCCAAAACCGAATTGCAAAAACCAAAACATAAAGAACAAAAAACAGCAATAGAGATGCGTGAATCCTAAAATGTAGAACACGCAGAGAAGATCACATGCTAGTACTGTATTAAAAAGTACAGTTGCTACTTAGGCACTGTCATGTAAATTGGGAACTTGTGAAAAACAAACGCCTACAAGACTGCACTATCGGAATGTATGCCCAAAATCATACAATATATGGAACAATAAAATTTTGCTTCTAAGTGAACATGTTGTTTGTCATTTATCAAACTAGACGTCAGCAATTTGAAAAAAAATTCTTTGATGGGGCCAAGAGCTGTGTGACCATTTAGGAATAACTAAATAAAGCTGCTTAATTGTTTAAAATCAAAGAAGGTTAGTGACATTGGTTGTGCTGCATATCCAGCTATTAACGGTTGCTAACCGCGCATCAGGGCCAAAGATTGATTTTAAAAGGTCATTGACTTAATGTTAAACCTCCTCATTTTCACCGGAACACTGATTATACATCTCAGATTTCATGCAACCAAAAGGACAGCAAACGGTATACTGCTTATATCATTAGTAATCACAGAACAAAAGCTTATACTCTACAATCCCAGGAAGTATCAGTTGTAATTCACATCAACATTGCCACCAAATTAAGCAAACATACAGGAATCCCACAACAATAGCATAAATGCATAATAGCTACTCATACAAAATCACAACCAACACAAACCAACCCCACATACCCTTTTTTTCTGTGAACAGGAAACAATCCCACATACCATGATACCAAAAAACCCAACCTTTAAATGCAGTTTACATGTATGCTAGTGTATATACATATACAAATGATTGAACAGGATGAATAAGAGAACCTGGTGCAAAGAAAAAAAGCTTTGACTGGGATCTTTCCACTTTCCTCTTCTTCCTCGGAGTCCAAAACGGAACTCTGAACAAAATCATTGGCACTGAGATCGAATTCATTGTCATAGATTGGGGATGGAGATGGGAGTGCCGAGAATGCCCTGAAACTACAAAATCTAGTTCTGGGTATTAAAGCAAGTGAAAGATGAATGGGTTTGATAGGCCGAAAACCGTTAGGATTCGGGTTAATGCATTTAGAAATGGAGGCGAAGCGTAAAAGGAGAGGAGAAGCTCTCCATCTCCCCATTCACCGGACTCTTCTCTTCTTGATTGGGTAGTGTTTGGCTGTCTATTTTTATTCAGATTTGTTTTGTTCCCAGCCAATTGATTGACTTGTTCAAGTCTCTGGTTGTGATGGCCTGCTGGGGAGATGGGTTGCAACCCACCTTCTTCTCGGTGCAGAGGGTTTGGGAAAGGAAGCTATGTTCATGGAAGCAATTCTTCGTGGTGTAGGTTAGCCATTGCAAAGGACAAAAACATGGTAAAAAACGAGGAACTCACGATGGTGTTAATATCGTATTATCGTTTAGAAATACACAGAAACACTCTGTGGGTTTTCTTTTTTTTTTTTACGGAGTGGAAAGGAAGGAGAGAGACAGGAAAATAAATTTCTTGACAATAAAGTTTAGTAGCTTCCCCTCTTTTATTATTTACACTTGCTTCCCCTCTTTATTATTATTTTTCACTTTAACCAAGCACACTTATGAATTTTCTTTTTGTAAATGTGGGAAACCTTTGAAACTATAAACTCTGTACTTAATTTGTCAATAATCCCCATGTATTTTTTAAGACGCTAGGTTCAAACTATTTTTTTTTTAAATCATAATATTACTCTTTGTATCCTATGTTTTATCTAATTAATAGTCATTGTCTTGGTCAGTGAATTCCATAATAATGAACTTAATGAGAGTAAACTCGGATTTGACCCGTTGGGTCAAGTTGAATACAGAGCGAATTTACTTGGTAATTGTAAAATGGGCCGGATAAATTGGTCTCCATTCCAACTACCCGACAACCCAAATATGCATTGGATAGGATATTGAGACGACGTCGTTGGAAGCACCTGTCGTACTGCTGCTGTCGCTGTCAACCACCTGAAAGTCCCAGCAACAAACCTAACTGACAGCTGTGAGAGTAAAAATCGAGTGATCGAAACCCTAGATTGAGAGAAGAAAGAGAACCAAAAATGGCGATTTCTGGAGATTTCAGAGTATCTGCTGCGTTGGTTCCTTATCCTATGAACCCTCTTCGAAGCTGTTCGCCTCCTTCCAAGGTTCAAACTCTTCCCCATTTTTAGTTTTCTAGTTCTCATTTTCATAACCTATAATCACTATATCTGGGTTTCTTCATCTTATTATTCTAAGTTTTAAGGTCTGGGTTTCTCTTGATTTGGTTTATTAGTCGCTAATCTGCGTGTTTATGTTCATATTTATTAGTCAACGCTATGAACTTTGGTAAATAGATCGTTATAGACTTAGGTAAATCCTATTCGTGTTTCATTTCGCGCAATTTGAGTTGTTTTTATGTGGTGGTAGTTGGGGGTTGGGGGTTAGTCTGTGAACTCCATTATGTTAATGTCAGTATGTGTCTTTCTTGTTCATGATTTCTTTTCTTGTCGGGTTCGTAGGCTTGAAATCGAAGATAATATCTTCACACGAATAAACTAGGATTTTAGATTATTATTGGTGCAAATGTACATGATCCTTGTACGAATTCAGATGTTAGTTTTGAGAATGTTGAATTTAGTGTTGTGGTAGTTGTTACAATTTATTGTAACTAGAGTTCAAATGATCGAATTCCTTATATTTTTTTTTTATTAGTTTTGACTTCAGGAGTCATTTGAATGATTGCGTGAAAAACGAGACTGTACAATATCTTGGAAGCTATGAGAAGTTATCCAGTTCAGTAGGTTTAGATGTCGAGGCTTGCCCGGCTGATTTGGGAATTAAATTATTATTATTATTATTATTATTTTTGTGAATCTTCTACATGTATAAAAATGTGACTCCAATTATTGATTGCTTGCTCATTGAACCTTGTTATAGTCGGGAATAAAATGCTTTGTGAATCAGTCACCTTCCACTGTTCCCGGGCGGTCTGTTTGGTTCATGAGTATACTGGGAGAAAGGAAAAACAAAAGTAAAGGAAATCATTTCTCTTCTTTGGTGGCCATAGAAAGTAAAGAGGGGAAGTAAGGGAAGAATAACTGTCACTCCCTCTCATACTAAAATCTATTTATCTGATTCACAAATTTTTCCATTCCGTGATTTCCTACAAATAGTCATGCTTAGTAGAATATGGTAGAATTGGATGTATTATCATTTTTCCTATGCTTGTTGTCATCGGTTTGTTCTTGTTTCGGCTCATGTTTTAAAATTGTTGTGTTTGGTTTTTTGAGATTTTATATGTTTTTAGGTGTGGGTAAAGGAGATGGGTTTATTGAATATTGTGTATCTAGTGATGTAACATGGTATGATGCACTATTCAATTCAAATGGTTTTTATAGCTCAATTTTCTTCCCTTTTCAGCAATTGACGTATCATTTATGTTGCCATCAATAGGTCCCCTTTTCCCTTCTGCCCATGCAAGTGGGCTCTTTTTGTTATTTAATTTTCACCTACTTGCCACTCCATGCAGCCGATTTCCTAAGAAGAGATGATATATATTATATGCTTATGTTCACGTTGCATAGACACTGACAGAATAGCTTAGAATACTGAAATATTTTATTCTCCTACACACACCCACTACACTCACGCAGATTAGTCACCAACATGTGTACTATATGTTCAGATGTTTTGTCAAAATAAAAGGTAGAGAGTCTAACTTGTATTGGTTATATTATACATCATCTAAGTATGAGGGTTTTGTGCTACATTACAGTTGGATTATATTCTTTCCCTTAATGGAGGATCCAGTGGTTCCGATGTCATGCCCAAATGGTCCCGTGCAGTATTGGATAGCAATAGCATGCACTGCCATTCTAAACGACCTCTTGGGATCACTGCAGCATACAAGCTGTCCACAAATTCCATTAGCCAGGAAGCTGAGAGCTTCCTTCTTGATGCCATTAACATGAGCTTCTTTGAGCGTTTGAACTTGGCTTGGAAGATCATGTTCCCGTCACCTACTTCAAGAAGGAACTCAAATGCAAAGATTGCCAAGCAACGGTTGAAGATGATTCTCTTTTCAGACCGATGTGCCGTTAGTGATGAGGCGAAACAGAAGATAGTGAGCAACATCGTGAGAGCCCTATCAGATTTTGTGGAGATAGAATCGCAAGATAAAGTTCAACTGAGTGTCTCTACAGATCCAGGTCTCGGAACTGTTTACTCTGTCACAGTGCCTGTGCGGCGGGTGAGACCAGAATATCAAGATGAGGATGAATTTGGAACAATAACAAATATTGAGTACAAAGATACTGGGGAAAGTTCTGGTTCTGTTGATGTCACGTTTGATTTCTATGTTTCCGACGGTATGTGAAATCAGGTTATGCCTGAGTTTAAGCTTGAAAAGGTGATAAAAAGGAGAAAAGAGAGAAAAAAAATTTGTTTCCCTGGTAATGAGAAATTATTACCTCAGGTAATACGGAGTTCTTCTGTAAGATGTTTGGGCATCTAACAGTTGGAATGACCTTTTAGTCTTGTATATATTTGAGATTTCTTGTTAGATAGTTTAGATTTGCAAGTATGGAAACTTTTACTTGGAATGAGTTTTGTGGTGACATTTCATCGTGCATATATCGTGGAAACTTTTAATTTTTGCATCATGGGTTCAGATCTTGGCAATTTTGGGTTTAGTCCATATGTCATCTTCTGCAAGGTTATTTTATAGAGGCAGAGCTATTATTTGTGGGTTTTACTGTGGACAAAAGGAACTGATATTGTGGTTACTTGTCCTTGCCCAGCCACCTTTATCTCCTTAAATATTAAACCAACTGCTCTGCTTTTCAGAACTCCCGGGTCCCGATTGTTTCTGTTTTATAATTCTGGGTTGAGCAGGAAAAAAGAGAGGGAGGAAATGTCACACTATCTGCTTCTGTGGTTGAATTTTGATGCTATCAGATGTAGGTCATGATCATCAACTGAAATCCTACGATTCTTGTGCAGTTTCTTTGCACTCATATCTAATGCTGCTCGTATGTAACCTCTGACAGTTTTAATTTTTTTTTGTTCAATGATCAGGGATATTCGGGTCAATTTATACGCATCTTGACTAATTTCTTCTCTGATCCGGTAAAAAGTAGACTATTCACGGCGTCTGGACAACAAGTTGTCAAGATTCAAATTTATGTTACCACTCGACCTATATTTAAAGTTAACTTTGGCAGTTTTGTAAAAACATTGGCACATGACAGCCATCAGCTCAGTACTGAAAAATCAGCTGCATTTAGGAGCCCCAGTGTTTTTGCCATTTGCTTGCACTCTTCATGGGATTAACCGCGGTCGCGTTTCCGCACTACAATCGTCGACAAGCCAAGCCAGCCACAGTACACTGTTTTCATCCATCCATATTTATAAGTGCCCCAACCATAGAGATGACATTTCTCAACTTGGGCATTTTGTGGGCATCACTGTTAATTTTTTCCGTATTTTATTTGAAAAAAAGATGGTCTTTATGTAATAATAAGGTTATTGAATTGTGATCGGAATACCGTAGGTTTAACTTACACAAATGGCCTCTCATAGACAAGACTAGTAAATTCTATTGACACTTGAAAGTTAAAAGAATAATACCAATATAAGCAAATTAATCATTTGGGGCCTTAGATTGAGAATCTTCCTCTTATTTTTCATTAGATCACATGCTCTAAGTTCAAGTAAGGTCCAATATCAATAAACGAACTCTCGTACATTCTCCTCATATGTTTTATTATGATGTGAATATAATAGTGAATTAGTTATACTGATATTTTGCGGCAATTCTGATTTTGTTTTGTGCAGCAAATAGATGTTAGCTGTTGGATTGGACCCGTTAATCTAACCTCGTACATACATCTATTTACTGCACATTGCATTTCCGATTTTGTCATGCAGCCACGCAACAAGAGGAGGGCATTTTGGTAACTTAAACCAGATTTTTGGTTTGCTATTTGGTAGCGGTACGCAAACACTGAGCGGGAACTTCCCAGTTCAAGTACTCGTTACTCTCTTCTACCTTCTCTCTGCTTCCATTTTGCTATCATAGAAACTCACAGATAATCTTCATGGTTCTCTGCAACTAATCGATCATTTGACGTGAAAATCGAACTCCAGAAACGAAAGTAGGGTTTTCCGATTTAGTCTCTGGTAATTTGTGCTCCGATTTAGGGCTCCAATTCCGGTTAATGCACTTGGATACACGTGCTTTGATGCCTTGGCTTGGCTTTCCCTGATTTCGATATGAACGGAGCTTGTTTGAAGTTCGAAAAGCCGATTCGGGACTCCATTTCGAGAATCCGGTTCGCTCCCCAATCCAACAATCTCCTCATCTCTTCTTGGGACGCCGTAAGCATCTACTTAATAAATGGTATTTTTAGGTACTTTTGTGTTTATGAACGTATAAGTTTATGAATATATGACTTTTTTTGTGTGGTTTATGAGCAGAGTCTTCGTTTGTACGATGTGGGTAGCTATAATCTCAGATTGGAAACTCCCACGGAAGCTGCACTTCTTGATTGTTGTTTCCCGCAGGAGTCGGTTGCTTTTACCACTGATTCTGATGGTTATATTAGAAGGTTGTTACATTAATGCCACTCTTTGTTTTTCTTCATTCACTAATTTTCATACCTATTTTGCTGGTGCCATAAAAATTCCATCTTGTTTTTGCTGTTTTATGCATCTAATTACTTCATCTATGCTACATCTCGAAGTCATATCCAATTGAAAGGCAAAGTTACTGTGTAAGCATGTGAAAACTCGCATACAATTTTGACTTAGTAAAGGGTGTTTGAAGAGTCCCAGACTCTAGAGGCATATGTAGTGTAATATTTCCTGGCATTTTGGTGAGAGGGTCAACTTGATGCCATCTGGTATTGCGTGATTGTATCAGAAGAATGACTAGCTGGGTATGAATAGCTTTTAAAGTATCTTTTCAAAGAGTCAGTTGAATTCAGCATCGTTCTTTGATTGTGCCACTGCTTAATGTGCTGGATTTTTGTTTTGTCACCCAAAAAATGGTTGCTTAAAAAGTAAAGTTTAAGGTAACAAATTATTTTGCACTTTCTCCTCAATGAAAAGAACATATTTTCCATATTTGCCTCCTTTAACTTCATATGAATCATATCTTCCGAACCGTTACTTTTATTTAAGATAACAGTAAATGGTTAGTGCAGCGTCCTCTAAATAAATTTTGTAATTTTGAGATCTTTTGGGAAACTCTCTACCTGTGTTGTGTTGTGTCTCTTCGCTGCACGACCCCTCGAAGCCTGGTGTAATGAGAAAGAAACAAAAGATAAAATGCCGCCATATTGAAGTTTTCTATTTTCACTTCAGTCCAAAACTTTGAATGAATGAGGAAACTTCATTAGGATTGAAGTTGACATATGGGAAAGCGATTATGAAACGATAAATAAATCTTTCTTTACCATGTGAGGTTTGTTAATAAGGATGCCTAAAAGTCTATAACATGTCGTTTCATTCTTTATGGAATTACATTAATAAAAAACATAGTGCTATATTGGAGAGTGTTGACTTGAAACAACCATTTTTCTTGAAAACCCTCATACGAATGAAACTGCCACCAGAACTTGAATATTCAAGTCTATATTGGTGAAATCTAATGAATAATTTTGACCACTGTGGCCTGGTGGTACAGAAAAAAAATAGAGAAATTGAGGAGCCTGTCACTGCAACGACTCTGGATGTTTATTGGTGGCTTATGTTCCTAGCGTTGTATTTTTTTGCTTGAAAAATTACTCACATTTGCAATGCTTACTATAGAGTATAGACTATAGGGTATATGCAATGTACATACATAATTTATGTCCCTTGTGTGGATGAAATTTGCATGTTTTAAGAAAAATATCCTTTATTGTTTCTGTAGGTTTCTTTGATTATCTGACGACTTCCTTTTGTTCAACATTTCTGTTCCATCCAAGCCAACTACTCAATCAATATATGGGGTGTAGATCACTTAACTGTATTTTGCTTCGCATTGCATACCTTAACACGAATAACAAATTTTCTGATGTGTGTGGGCTGCTGCATTTTCATGTGGTTGTCTGTCATGATTATCAGACCCTATTAACGACTCCTTTTATCCACAAATTTTTTAGGTGTGATTTGCAATACGGAATCAATGAGAAAATTGGAAGTCATGATGATTTAGCAACTTGTGTTGAATATTCTGATGAGACATGTAAGCAACTACTACGACCTAACCACCATCGCTATTAGTTGATTACTCTGCAAGTCCATGTCAGTCATCTTTCTTTAAGATAGAAATGTTGCACAATTTATGTAAATAGATTCCAAGAGAAAAAAAACTGAGAAAGCAACAGAAAGTAGTGTAAATATTCTATTTTAAGGCAAAGATAATGCAACGAATTTCCACGGTAAATACTCTGGTCAAATACTGGATCCTGTTTTTATAGATGTTGAAAGGTTCCCTAAGCACGTTGCCTGACAGTTTATGGTCTTTCTATATTGTAACTGTTGCTATCAGAGGGCTCCAATGGGCCCCCTGACCAGTAAGCATCTTCCCAATGATCATTCACTTTAACAGTAAACCCTCTCCAACTCTCTAGTTTCTCCTATTTCATTCTTCTATACATGTGTAGATTTGAGAGGGGAGAGGGAGAGATCCAATAGAAAAGTACCTATGAAGCTCCCTCTTCATGATTCTCTTCTTGGGACTATTGGACTAATGTAAAGTGAACTTGGAAGTGTCTATGGAAAGTCTCTCCTTTCTTTTCTTGAATCTGGTGGAGCTGGCTTTCTGAAAGACCAAAGCCTCCCATGTATACTTCCACAAAACCCTTTGAAAAGTTGCCTCCAAGTGTCAAAAATAAAAAAGATGGAGAGGAGACAAAAGATATACTTCCCTCCAAAATGACCAATATTGATTATATCATTTGCGCTGGATCATTATCAGCATATAGTTGCTGCAGTACAAGTTAAGATTTGTATGTTCATGATAAAGGAGTAACTAATTGCACGATATATTTTATTTTAGACCAGAAACATGAAGGAAGATTCGTTGAATGGTCCTGTGCACCACAAAGTTCTAAAAATTAAATATTATTTATATGTTTTTTTACTCTTAGCATTTTAATCTTGCTCTAGATACAAACATTTGTCATGCTCATGTGTCTCTCGTATGTTTCTGCTTTTTGGTTATGTATGTCAATTTCTTTTCATGAAGCAAAAAATAATTCGTTTCTTTTTCACTGACATAGGTCAACTAATAACATCTGGATGGGATAAAAAGATATTGTCTTGGGATACACGTTCAATGAAGGCTTATGGATGTTTGAACAATCTAGGTGTAGAGGTGGAGTCTATGTCACTCTCTGGGTTTTATTTGATGGCTGCCATTGGGCCATCAGTGAACATGTATGACTTGCGTAACTTTAGCAGACCTGTTCATGCAAAAGAATCATGCATGGACATTCGAATAAGATGTGTCCGCCCAATTCTTGGTTCTGAAGGTATTGTGAAAAGGTTGTGTTCATCTAGGTATTGTATGTCTTGCGTCATCCAGTTGTTCTTGTACTTGGATATAGCCTCACCTGTATGTTGGATGTGTACTTGATCAATTCAGAGTATTCACCATTATAGGTATCTGCTATGCAGACTGAATTGCACTCTTAAGCAATGTTTTATGTATGTGTTATTAGGTTCTTTTTGGTTTTCATGTTTTTTTGTTGCCCTGATTTATTTCATACAAATCTTCAAGGTAGTGAATACTGTTAAGAGTAGTCTTGATTCTCTTGAATATTTAATATTATGGGTTTCTTTATTTTATGTTGCCCTATTATGTCTGAACAAATACATTATTTCAGGGTTTGTAGTTGGATCAATTGATGGAAGGGTAGCACTGAAGTATATATATTCATTTAATTCCGGCAATGACGGGTGAGTGTAAGTTGTGGCAATAAAAAATATGTCAAAACTCATAAAAAGTTTCTTGCTACTGCTCAAACTATGCTATTGTGCATTGTGGATATTCTTGATATGCAACTTAATCTGAAACTGAATGTAACCTCATTAGCCTTGTTTCATTGCCGAGAGATGTAAAAAGCTAGGAAGCACGGACACTCTTAAGAAGGTGACTTATCTGTGTTTGACATGTGTTTGACACTTTTGGTGATGTCTCTGACCCTTCATTAGATCATGTCTTCGACTAAAAAATAAGCAAGTGCCAGCATGTAATTAATAAAGCTTGAAAATTTGACAAATGACTACCCTATAATGTTGAATAATATATAGGTGTTAAAACTAATCATGTTGAAATTTTACCGAAATGTACTAAGAAAAGCAAAAGATGCATCAAAGTTTTACTCAAGAAGAAGACTTGAGGAAAGAATTGACTAGAAATGTTGTTGGTGCTATTCCAAACATAATCTTCTCTAAGATTTCAAGTTTGTGTTATTAATTATTTCTGGCTTTCTCCTCAACACACTGGAACCTAATTATGGAAATTATGCTGATATATGAAACTCAAAAAGTGCTCTTGTATCACACTGCTATGATCCCCCTCAATTTCAGTATGATAACTACTGTCATAAGTGCAGGATTTGAAACTTAGTAGCCTAGACTCTATTTGAGCTCTTAGCAAAACATATTGGTTTAACTAAGATATATTGGCGGTGTGGATATTTTAGATAACATGATTTATTGGCTAATATTTTGCGTTCTTGTGAACCATTGCAGATATGTTTTTCGATGTCAGCCAAAGGCAAAGGATGGAAGGCATCATCTTGCAGCGGTGAATGACATTTCATTTAGTCCATCGTATGTGTTCCTTTCTTATTAGATTACTAACATAAATTATTGACTCTTACATTGATAAGATTTTTGTATTAATTAGCATTTGCGGCACTTTTGTCACCGGTGATGATAAAGGTCATGTTATCACATGGGATGCTAAAAGCAAGAAAAGATTATTTGAGGTACTTTCTCTTCTTCTCATAGGACGTAGCTCAGCATGTGTTGTGTTCAGAGTGAAATTGATATATTGCACCCTAATTTCTTATGGCGCCATGGTCTGCTTGAGAAATTGAGCTAACAACCGTAAGATTATGGATGCAAATACGAGGGGAGTCGCATTGTTCACTTAACGGCCAAAATTTTGTATCCAGTGCTTCCCTCCTAACACCTTCGGTTAATGTGGGTCAACTTTCTTTAACAAGAATGAATTGATTGTAAAGAGATTTGCTTGGCAATTGAAGATGTAGGGCACATAGAAACGGTCGCTGCTTAGTCTCATCTGAGAGCTTAATCTTAAATGCTATTAGTGCATCTAAATAAATTTTAATGTAGTAACTTTTGGAGACTGACAGTATTTGAGCTTCATTTGTTGTCTTGATGATATATATTACTTATTTGGGTTATAGAATTTATTGTCAGTTGAAAATGATGTAGGATATCATCTGTCCCCTTTTTTGTTTGTGCTGATATTTGCAGACAATTTCAACATAATTGGCCATACAATACTTGTTTTTGTTTGCACTGTCTTTGTGTTAATTGTTTAAAGTAATGTGGTGTTCATGTCAAAACCTTCTGTTGCTTTTATAGTTCAACAGCTTTCTACCTCGACATCATCGAATTTTGGTGTTTGAATTGTAAAGAGAGCTTGTATCCTCCACCGAATAATTAAGTCAACCCAAGGTTGGTTTATATAGTTGAGAGGTTACTCCACCCATTGCCAATTGGTTTTTACTTGGATGCTCTAATATTGTATCAGAGCTGGGCCTTGGGGTTGTTTGTTAGGGTCAAGTCTCTTACCCAGTTGAATTTCCCGGTATGTATGATTGTTTGTTTGTTTGTTAGCCCCATGAGCGAGTTCGGATCCCATGTGAAGGAGGGTGTAAAGAGAGCTTGTATCGTCCATTGAATAAGTAGGACCACCTAAGGTTGGTTTATATACTTGAGGGGATACTTCACTCATTGCTAATTGGTTTTGGGTTGGATGGTTTACCATGAATGAAGAATCTCACTTCGCTGTTTCCACAAAGTTGTTCTCACATGCCTTGTTTTTTAACCTTGATAGCCTTTTTTTTTACCTTGATAGCCTTTTTCTTTTCCCATTCATTTAATTTCTGGATGTCAATATAGTTCTGATAGTCCTCTAATTTCGTCTGACTTTTTCTTACATTCAGCTTCCAAGACATCTCAACAGCATTGCCTCCTTATCATACAACTGTGGAGGACAACTCCTGGCAGTTGCATCAAGCTTCACATACCAAGAAGCTAATGAATTGTAAGTAAATCTTATCTTTTTAGATTCGTGAATTGTGTTTTTTTTAAACAAACTTTCATTTCATAGAAAGTGAATAAAGATGGGGGATCCTACAGTTGTTAATTTATCATAGATCCTATATTTGGTAGCTGGTTATCATGTATGCATATTGTTGGAATGTCAAGCGTGTTCAAATTTTTTTTTTCCTCATGGTTTGCATCAATGATTGCAAACACCACTTTTATACTCTTGAAGTTCTCAGTAAACAATAGGATTCATGAAACAGTAACATGAAACAAATAAGACAGACCAGAATAAATGGGACAACATAAAAAGACTCATAGAGGCACACTTTTGGTGCAAGGATTACTCCCTGTGGCACTGAAATTTATCATCTACAATTATTTCATCAATGACTCCAGTGTGGAGATGAAAGCTTAAAATCTGGTTATTAATAAATGCCGGGAGTGGATAAGTGGGAAATACTTTGTTTAGGGTGATATGTTTGTTTTGTGATCATAATCTATTTTGTTCACACAGAGGTCAGTAGCACCATGCTTGCTTCTAATTGTTTTATGATCCGCAACACAAGTGCCACTCTTATTCATGGCCTGCAAAATACCATCTAATACAGTAAAGGTGTTTTGATTTTTTGTTTGGAATTAGTTTCACATGGCTTAACATTTCTTAGGTACTTGGACAAGCCCAAATCTTGTCATTACTGCTATTGCTTGGTTCTTCTTGGACATCCCTGAACCATCTCAAATTGATGCTCCTTAATGCAATGTTGCTTATTGCTTGGGTTGCTCAAATCTTATCATTCTTAATTCATTATCTTATCGCTATTCTCCATGTGAACTGCTGCATCTCCATGAAAGTTGCATATGATCTTGGTTCCCTGTTGTTCAAATGGCGTAAACCTTAATAGTTATCTGATCTCATAGTACAGTTGGATAACTTTTCCAGAATTCATAGGGTGACTTTGAGGAATTAGAAACACAGTAACATTGTTCTTGTGAATTCAAAAATTTAGTCATTCGTCTACGTGCTATTCAATTGACCTAAATTGTGCACTTTGCCTGTGATATAGAGAAGAGCCTCCTCAAATATACATACATGAGATGGATGAAAGATACATTGGATCAGGTTCAGCTTCAAGCTCAAGCAATAAAACATAACTGCAAATGATATGTTTCAAACAAAGGTGATGACTTACATCTTTATATGGAGTTCAGTTTTTACAATTTCTAGTTGAATGTATATGGTTAGCTGGCTTGCATATTAAATTCTCAATCTGCCTGCAACAAGAGTTGCAATGTATTTTTTTGGGCCATTTGCATTGCATTTCAAAAATCAATGGTTTGAAGGATCTTGAGAGTTTCAATTTGGTCTTCTAAATTTTGAATCGGGCCATGCAATTGTGAATAAAATTTGTATCTATCTTTCATCCCGGAGTTTGAGGAAGCACTTTGTCCTAGAAACAACTACTACAACTACCAAACTCACACATACCTCATGTATTCATCTTGTAGAAGAATGCAAGTAATTGTATGCTCGAGGCAACGATTGAACAACAATGACCTTGGTGGACTCTGTTTAGAGACAAGTTGAAACAAGGGAAAGGTACATGACTGGCCACTTCTAAGTTATAATTAAGTGATGGGTAGCACTAGGAATCAAAAGTTATTTTGTAGTGCTATTTGATCTTCTTTTTTTTTTGACCAATGAGTATGGGACACACGTAAAGACGTCTTTATTTTATTGTTTTGATATTTCATGTAGCCGCTATTTTATGACCTTTATCCTTATTAGCATAGTTTTTCTCAATTTGTTTAATGCATTTTGATCTCAAGTTATCAAAAAAATTATAAAAATGCTCATAAAATTTATAAATAACTCACAGAAATTATAAATTCTTTATTACAAAAATACCTATAAAAATTATAAAAAATATTCACAAAAATAATAAAAACTAGGGAAGTGGTACCCATTTTGTTTTTGGTATTTTAGTCTTCTCCCTATAATTGAGGGTGGATAATTAACTTGCATTGCTCTTTTAATCAACCAACCAGAACATCTTTACCGGGGCTAGTGCAAATGGAAAGTGCGCTATTGATAGCGTGTGAACTAAGCCTGTCCAAGTATCTACAGATAATGTTCGAATTGATTTTTTTTTTTTTTAATATTGAAATTCGAATTTGACAAAAACAATTCTAATCTGAATTTAATCCGCATATGTGGGAAGCATTATTGTACCTCCACTTTTAGACCAATAAATATTTAAAAATTTTATATTTTATAATATTTATTATTTTTTAATTAGTACTTGTAGATCATTTAATTTAAAATTAATGGCTGAAATTAATAGAGATATGGTCTTAGTGACTTAAAATTGATGGTTGGATTTATACTCTAGAATTCTCTATGAATTTGTATTTTTTAAAGTACATGAATTTGATTAATTCACGTTCTTATTTATTTATATGTTTATTTATTATTATTTAAATTTTTATTTGGGAAGTATTAATCCACACTTAAAGATACATATTAAATTGTAATAATATTTATACATTTTAATTATCATTTTAAGACTTTTATAGTTAATATATTTTTAAATTAAATAATTTATCTTGTAGTTGTGCATGAAATTTTAATTTTTTATATTAAATTTTTATGGGTGATGCTTTAAAGATGATCCCTTTCTTTATTTTTTTTAAATGTTGAAATTTTTACGCTTTCGTTTCTGGTTTCTCCACTATTCTCACTTTATATGATCATAGTTAAAACTGTTAATCAAATTGAGTTATTTGAGTTTGGCTTGAGTTCAGTTTGAATTTGATTCATTTAAGCTTGATTCGTTTTTTAAATGTGTCCAAACTTGAACAAATTTTTAGATTTGTTTAAAGAACAAGTCTTACAAGCTCAATTTAAATTCAACAGATTTGATTCATTTATGTGTAAATTTTCAGGCTCAACTCGAGCTCGACTTGTTTTTGACTAATTCAGATTTGATTCGTTTTTTAAACGAACCAAAGTTGAACAATTTTTTAAGTTCGATTAAAAAATAAATTTTTCAAAATCGACTCAACCTTGTTTGACTAACTATCATTATCATAGTATCAAATTCCGTACAATGACCTTATCGCGTATACATTATTGATTTTGACAATCAAATTTAATTGCCAATATGATTCTATCAAATACTCACTTCACTAATTCACTTATTTATATAATTATTTAATCAAAGTCAAATTGGGAATCAAAATGTGGCTCATTAAAGGGGCGTAGTGTGCACTCGCAAGTAGGATAACATTTTTTTTGCACATGTCGTACCGGCGGCCTGTGCTCAGCGTCATTGTAACGCTAATCTAAAAATATCTCAACGCCCACTAATTACATCTAAATCTAACGGCTAAAAATGAATCCGGACTCCACCCTCTTTTTGTACTGATTTTGATAAAAACCCTAATCTCCGATTTCTACAATTCCCCCTCCCCACGCAGTCCTACTGAGGGAAAATGTCACATTACTCCCCATAATATTTTTTTATTCTCAATTCATACCTAAAAATTTAAATTTTTTTAAAAAATAATAATAATGATGTGATCCAGTTAAAGAAAATTTAGTACAAAAGTTCCATTGAAAACACTTAACATGCAATATTATGAAAATACTTGGGTATAAATATATAATAATATGATAAATGCAACAAAAAAAGAATTATTGAAAAAGACAACTAATATTTAGTTTTGGACTATACTTTTTATCTGATTAGGGGTGCAATATAAAACCTTTAATCTTTTGAGGGTAAAAATTTAGAATTTGAGAATCTTTTAGGGTAGAAAATGTCATTCTCTCTCCTATTTAACACTACCATTATTGCACGCGTGCGTCAGGCCCCTCTCTCCCCCTCTCTCTCTCTCACTCTCACTCTCTGCTTTGAAATTGATTGCTCGTTCCTCTCTCTCCCTCCCTCCCTCCCTCCTCAGTTAACATGTCGGACGAAGAACATCATTTTGAGTCGAAGGCTGACGCCGGAGCTTCGAAGACCTTTCCCCAGCAGGCTGGTACTATCCGCAAGAACGGTTATATTGTCATCAAAGGCCGAGCTTGCAAGGTTGTGTTCTTTTTATTCCCGTCTCAATCTGTTTTTTTCATGTATATACATATGTGAATACACATATATCGTGCTTGACTTTCTAGATCTGCTATTTTAGGTTTGATTTGCTTGTGTTTATAGAGACAGGGAATTTTTTGTGATGATTATACGAGTTCGGTTTTCTGATTCTAGGGCTTTTGTTTATTACTTGATTGGATTCTAAAGTTTTGATATTACTGTTGCTCTTCTTTATGTTTGATTCACGTGATAAAAATAAGTTCTTTCCCTATTTTTTTTTAGATGTTTTTTTTTGGGTGCTTATTGCGTCTTTTTTCTCAATTTTTTTGATAGGAAGCACAATTTTATTAAAGGGTAAATGACATAGTACAAGATGAACACATGGATGGACAAGTCATCCATCCAAAATGCAATCCATCAAGAGCAATACATAAAAATGGAAAGATATCAAAGCAATCAGTCACAGGCTGCCCATCCAATTTATCAGAATTCCAAAGAGTCGTATATTTGCAAACTCCTTTGCAATCTAAGCCCAAAAAGTTGCTAAAAGGTGAATTTAGTTCCAAAGGCCTTCAACCATAGTTGTTAAATCGCGATTCGTATCGTGAATTGTAATCCTAAATTTGAAAATTGTGAATTGTGAATTTTGATCGGATCGAATTGACACAAAATTTGAACAAAAATAAAAAATAATATTACATATTTAATATAGACAAAATATTGAATATTAAACATTATTACATTATAAAAATAATCAATTGACATAATCACATCGTTTAAATGGAAAGACGCTAGCTTTTTGTTTCATTTTCATCTTTTGCCTAACCATTTTCAAACTCAACAACTTGAAAAAAAATTCATTAAAGAACCATGGCTATTCGAGAATCAAAATAGTGACACCTACTATAAATTAGGTTATAAACATGAATGAAAAAGAACAAATAAAAAATTGATTGAGAGAAAACATACATGTCAATATTTTGAAACAAAAATTAGAACCTAACAAACTATTCAGGAAGGAATTGAGAGCAAAAATCAACCAAGGATGCGAGAATATTAGACCTTTAACTTTATACAACGCAAGACGAGTTTTAGATGACGTCAAAGAGAGAATGAGCAAAGACGTTGAATTTTTATTAGGGTGTGAGTTCCTCTGTAAATAAAATGACGTCGTTTTACTGTTTAGTGGACAAAATGACATCGTTTTGCCAAAAATTTGGATTTTGAAAAAAAGTGATTGAATCGTGCGAGTCGTATCTTACGAATTGAATCGTATGAATCGTAGGTGGGATTCATCTCTAAAACGATTCATATAATATACGAATCGTTTTGTACTTGTGTCGAATCGAATCGTACGATTTTGATAACTATACCTTCAACAACCTCATACTTAATCTTCAAAAATTATTGAGTTTCTCGTCGACCAAATCACCTAAATAATGGCAAAAAATGCACATTCCTGAAAAGCAACTCTTTTACAGTTTTCTTCCAAATTCTTTGTAGTCCACACACTACATTGTTAAGATTGTACCTAGAGCCACCAATAATGCTGCACCAATTCATACAACTTGTTCCATAAAGCCAACGCTACCAGACTATGCAAAAATTGATGATTTACATAAATGACACACCATTGTGGGAGAGGCTTGTTTGAGGTCATCTTTTTTGAAGCACATCATGAGCGTTGATCTTCCCATAAGCAATATCCAATGCACAAACTTGCACTTTTAAAGGTACCTTTGCCTTTGGAATCTTAAAGTGTGTAGATCGCATAGTATTCTCTTATCTTTCTAATCATATTCTTTGAATTTATTGTAATACCTTTGTAGATATACACACACATAGCCTGCAGTAGAATATGTTGTATTTTAATTGTGAGCTAATTGTTCGTTTGTTCTTTCGATGAAATTTTTCAACTACACAGTATGAAACTTGTTGCAACTATGACAATTAATCTTAATTTTTATCCACTGTACCTTCCGTGGAAATCCTATAACGTTGAATAAAGGTTTATGCTTTGTTGGAAAACGTCAACATTGTGCTTTTAAGTTTCAACCTTGAATAAAGATTTATGCTTTATTATATCCCGTGGATGATTTGGGGCATGACTTCTTGAGGCACAGCATGGTTCTGCCAAACATTCTCTTAATAACACATTTTATCAGTTATTAAGTCTTAATATGCGTCTGTTTTTTCCTTCTGCGATTGAGTTGCCCTTACTCATGACTTCCTGCTCAAAAGATAATATGTGTTAACTGTGAATCTGCTAAATGTGCGCTTGTTTCAGGTTGTGGAGGTCTCAACTTCCAAGACTGGCAAGCATGGTCATGCAAAATGCCACTTTGTTGGAATTGACATCTTCAATGGAAAGAAGCTTGAAGATATTGTTCCTTCTTCTCACAACTGTGATGTATGCATTTATATATTCATAAGCAACTTTACTTTATTCCTCTGCTGTAGTTTCTTTCTGCCTCTATCAACATTTATTTTGTGTCCCTGGAATGCAGGTTCCCCACGTGAATCGCACCGACTACCAGCTGATTGATATATCTGAGGATGGATTTGTATGTTCATTCTATCCCTTGTTTGATTACTTTTTTTTCTTTGGTGAATATATTCTGATACCCTCCAAATGCTGTGTAGGTGAGTCTGCTGACCGACAATGGCAATACCAAGGATGACCTGAAGCTTCCGACCGATGAAAGTCTGCTTACGCAGGTTAGTGAATGTGTTTTTTTGTTGACAGTGTGGCCAACTTTTTGCTTTTATCTTTTTATGTGTATCAATATATTTACATATTGGTAGAACATGGCTTGGAATCCTATGTCGTCCTTAAATCTTGTTTTTGTGCCTATGTATTCATAGGGATCCTGTTGTTGTTTTGTTTTTATGTGACCTTCTTTCTGGAAAATGTGTGTCTGTGTTAGAACTTGCTAGTTACCATGATTTCAGCATATGCTTTGGCTCTCATGTATGTCAAGATTGCACTAAATAACTCTTGCTTTCGTATATGATATGTTCGTTGAGTCTTTCTAACTGGTATTGACTCCTTACTTTAGTGATGCAAGTAATTTGTTATTTGTACCCAGTAAATTGTTTTGAACTAGTTCTTATTTGTGCAGCTAGTTATATGCTTCTTAACTTGAAAATTTTTGCGGTAGGTATTTTGGTTTTCTTGTCACCCCTATGCTTTGGAGCCCTTTTGGTTTTCTACTATGTACATTAGCTGCGAAATGGCAACTAACCTGGTCTGACAATTTCATGGAAATGCCAAGATTGATTTGTGAGTGCAGTAATGTAGAGGTTAAACCCCATATTGTTCAGGACATAATACTTCAACTTGAATATGGTCATACCAAGTCAAAATAATAAAACATCTCATCCTCAGAGATTGAGCTGAGAGATTGGTTTCTGTGATCATTTTTGGATTTGAAAGCAAAGGCACTTCATGGTGTTTTGTTGCAAATTCTTTTATGTTAAGTGTGGGGTGATGACACCAGGAATTTTTTTGCAACTCTGAATAGTGAGCTCCTCATAATTACTGCAAATATTTGTTTTTGCCAATATTCATGTAATGCTAACATTAGTTGCCGAATATATGCAGATCAAGGATGGATTTGCCGAGGGAAAAGACCTGGTTGTGAGTGTGATGTCTGCCATGGGGGAGGAGCAGATCTGCGCCCTCAAGGATATTGGTCCAAAGTAGCTTTATTTTCTTTTGGACGATGCCTGAGGCTTCAAAATTCTGAATGAGATAGAAAAACAATTACCGAACTATGGGGTTTTGTGTGTAGAAGAGCAGGGGCCACATTTGAGAAACATTTTAGCACTTGATTCTTGTTGGGATATGGCCTACCTTCCTAAGAAACATTGTACTTTTTTTTTACTTATTTTTATGCTTGGCAATCTATAAATTTTGTGTGTTTATTACTTCTTGAACCATGTCTGGTCTTTGTTCATGGTGTGGAATTTAATTTGCTGGCATGTGTATAAACTTATGCAACCTGTTGCGAAGCTGCAACTTTTTACTTATATATTGTGACCTAATGAATTGGTTCGCTTGAGTAACTGTTCTGATTTGTATTAACCCACTCATTATTTTTGTGACTGAGCAGAAAAATTTCCATGGTTGACGAAGATGGTTCTGTGCTGGGCAATCAACAAGTCTTTTTTGTAAGACATGAACTTGGAATTGAATTGATTACCTTGATGGTTTCCATTGTTTTTGTGTTACGGTCTTTCTCTGGATGGTCATGTTATGTAGCATATGATTTTTATGGGGAAGGCTGTGGACCTGTGCAATTAGGATGAAGAACTAGGTACGGATATATACAAAAATTCCGGGTACAATATATATTATTTACCTAGCGTCACATAGCATAGGAGGAACAAATTTTGATATTTTATTTGTGAATGTTGTTAATGCCATTCAATGAGGAAATTTTATAAGATTTTATTTTATTTTTTGATTGAATTAGAATTTTATTTTATTTGGTTTCTTTATATATTTAAGGATTTTAATTTCCTAATTAGTTTAGGATTTTTGCTATTACATAAATTCATGCAAGTCTTGGGACAAAATAATTTTTAATTTTTGAGAAATTAATAATATTGAAGATTTTTTTTTTTCTTTTTATAATTTTTTTGGTATTCTCAACAAATCTATTGAAGACTCTCAAGGGACTAGGATTGATATGAATTAATAGGCTTGGTGTAGAATTCTGAACTAATATTTGCGCACAAATCAACGGCTCAATTTCATTCTGTTTCTCAATTTCCTTATTGTTCTTTACACTCGTGTGTTTTATATGTTTTCCTGTATCAACATAATTAATATCCAAAAAGGAGAGAGAGAGAGAGAGAGAGAGAGAGAGAGAAGTTGCTAACCATCATAGGTAAAATGGGAAAACATTAACTACGTCATCATGGGATCACATTGTAGAAGTAGCAAACCCACATTCAAGAATCATCTCTCTTGTATATGAATGTGTTTAGGAACACAACCTAAAAGCTTCGGAGGCACTGGAACCAGTCAGTCTATCGTGTGAAGAGACTGATAACAGCTTCAGAAAACCATTTTAGTTTCTTCATTTCCACAAGAGGATTAAGATCAGGCCCAAAAAAAAAAAACAAGGCGAACAATGGTAGATAGGCCACCTCGTTTGTTTGATGCCTCTGTTCATCCTCTTCATGGACAAATTGAAGATTATGGTGCAACCCTCTCTTCTATTTCACAAACCGGATGACTGTTCCAAGCCAGTCTTCAGGCGTGTTGCCCCTGATTTCCCCGCTCAAGGCCCTTAGAGAGTCGTTTGTGCCTGCCTGTGTTCGACAAAGGAATAATAGCTCATACGCAACAATGTAATTGAAAAGTACAGTAGGACAATGTCAAAAAGTCATT